ATTCAACAACATATCAAAAAAAATAATTCACCATGACCAAGTGAGATTTATACCAGGTATGCAGGGATGGTTCAACATTAGGAAAACAATCAGTGACTATACACGTGAACCTCACCAGATGGAATACAAGGGAATCAAATGGACTACATCTATGGAAAGAGACGATGGAAAAGCTCAATACCATCAGTTAGAACAAGGCCAGGGGCCGACTTGCAATTGCTAGTATGCAAGTTTAAGTTGAAGCTGAAGAAAATTAGAATCAGTCCATGAGAGCCAAAGTATGACCTTGAGTAACGATAAAGAATACAATGAATCTGTGAAACATCTCATAACGTGGATGATTCTGGAAGGCATTATGCTGAGTGAAATTAGTCAGCCTCAAAAGGACAAGTATTGTATAAGACAACTATTATAAGGACTCAAGAAAAGCTTTAAACATAGAAGAGATGGTTACCAGTGTGGGGAGGGTGGGAGAGGGGTATTCACTAACTAGTAATTAGACAAGAATTATCTTAGGTGAAGGGAAGGACAACTAATACAGGGGAAGTCAGCACAACTGGACTAAACCAAAAGCTAGGAAGTTTCCTGAATACAGTCAAACACTTCGAGGGACAGAATAGCAGGGGCCCATGGTTTGGTTTCACGGACCATGGTTTCAGGGGACATCTAGATCAATTGGCATAATGAAGTTTATTAAGAAAATGTTCTGCATCCCACTTTGGTGAGTGGCATCTGGGGTCTTAAAAGCTAGTGTGCAGCCATCTAAGATGCATCAATTGGTCCCAAACCATATGGAGCTAAGGAGAATGAAGAACACCAAAGATACAAGGAAAATATTAGCCCAAGAGACAGAAAGGGTCACATAAATGAGAGACTGCATCAGCCTGAGACCAGAAGAACTAGATGGTGCCTGGCTATCACCAATGACTGCCGTGACAGGGAGCAAAACAGACAGTCCCTGTTGTAGCAGGAGAAAAGTGGGGTGCGGAACTCAAATTCTAGTGAAAAGACCAGACTTAATGGTCTGACTGAAACTGAAGGGACCCTGGAATATATGAACCCCGCACTCTCTGTTAGCCCAAAACTAAAACCAGTCTCGAAGTCAACTCTTCAGACAAAGATTAGACTTGACTATAAGATATAAAATGATACTCATGAAGAGTGTGCTTCATAGCTTAGGTAGATACATGAGTCTAAATGGGCAGCTCCTGTCCGGAGGCGAGATGAGAAGCAGAAAGGGACAGGAACTGGTTGAATGGACACGGGAAATCCAGGGTGGAAAGGAGGCATGTGCTGTCACAGTATAAGGAGTGCAACTAGGGTCACATAGCAATGTATGTATAAAGTTTTGTATGAGAAACTAACTTGAACTGTAAACTTTCATTAAAAGCACAATTAAAAAAAAAAAAAAGAGACTGGGGGAAAAAAAGGAACATTTCCAGATCTGTCCTGAAGTACAACACTGTCATTGATAGGATAATATCCATATGCCTACAAGGAAGACCAGTTACAGACTATTCAAATTAGTCACCAACCACTAATGCTAAAGATGAGGAAATTAAAGATTTCTACCAACTTCTGCAGTCTGAAATTGATCAAACATGCAATCTAGATGCATTGATAATTACTGGTGATTGAAATACAGAAGTTGGAAACAAAGAACAGTAAGAAAATATGGCCTTGGTGATAGAAATGACGCCGGTGATCACATGATAGAATTTTGCAAGACCAGTGACGTTTTCATTGCAAATACCTTTTTTCACCAACATAAATGGTGACTATACACGTGAACCTCACCAGATGGAATACAAGGGAATCAAATAGACTACATCTATGGAAAGAGACGATGGAAAAGCTCATTACCATCAGTTAGAACAAGGCCAGGGGCCGACTTGCAATTGCTAGTATGCAAGTTTAAGTTGAAGTTGAAGAAAATTAGAATCAGTCCATGAGAGCCAAAGTATGACCTTGAGTATATTTCACCTGGGTTTAGAAACCATCTCAAGAGTAGATTTGACTCATTAAATACTAATGACCAAAGACCAGACTAGTTGTGGAATGACATCAAGGACATTATACATGAAGAAAGCAAGAGGTCATTTAAAAGACAGGAAAGAAAGAAAAGACCAAAACTGATGTCAGAAGAGACTCTGAAACTTGCTTTTGAACATCCAGTAGTTAAAGTGAAAGAAGAAATGATGAAGTAAAAGAACTGAAAAGAAGATTTCAAAGGGCGGCTCATGAAGACGAAGTATTATGATGAAATGTGCAAAGACCTGGAGTTAGGAAACCAAAAGGGAAGCACACAGTTGGCACTTCTGAAGCTGAAAGAACTGAAGAAAAAAAATCAAGCCTTGAGTTGCGATATTGAAAGTTTCTACAGAGAAAATATTAAATGACACAGGAAGCATCAAAAGAAGAATGAAGGAATACTCAGAATCACTTTACCAAAAGAATTGGTTGATGTCCAGCCATTTCAGGAGGTAGCATATGATCAAGATCCAATGGTACTGAAGGAAGAACTCCAAGCTGCGCAGCAGACGTTGGCAAAAAAGGCTCCAGGAATTGACAGAATACCAATTGAGATTTTTCAACAAATGGATGCAGCACTGGAAGCACTCCTCTATGCCAAGAAATTTGGAAGACAGCTACATGGCCAACCGACTGGAAGAGATAGATCCATATTTATGCTCATTCCAAAGAAAGGTGATCCAACAGAATGCGGAAATTATTGAACAATATTAATATGACACGCAAGTAAAATTTTGCTGAAGATTATTCAAAATCAATCACAGCAGCACATTGACTGGGAACTGCCAGAAATTCAAGCCAGATTCAGAAGAGGACGTGGAACAAGTGATATTGCTGATGTCAGATGGATCTTGGCTGAAAGTAGAGCATACTAGAAGATGTTTACCTGTGTTTTATTGACTATGCAAAGGCATTCGACTATGTGGATCATAACAAATTATGGATAACATTATGAAGAATGAGAATTCCAGAACACTTAATTGTGTTCATGAGGAACCTGTACATAGACCAAGAGGCAGTCATTCAAGCAGAATCAAGGGGATACGGAGTAGTTTAAAGTCAGGAAAGGTGTGCATCAGGGTTGTATTGTTTCACCATACTTATTCAGTCTGTATGCTGAGCAAATAATCTGAGAATCTGGACTATATGAAGAAGAATGAGGCATCAGGATTGGAGGAAGACTCATTAACAACCTGCGATATGTAGATGACACAACCTTGCTTGCTAAAAGTGAAGAGGACCTTGAAGCACTTACTGATGAAGATCAAAGACCACTTAATGGTATGTAATCAGTATGGATTACACCTTAACACAAAGAAAACAAAAATCCTCACAACTGGACCAATAAGCAACATCATTGTTGTCAAGGGGTTAATTTTACTTGGATCCACGATAACACCCACGGAAGCAGCAGTCAGGAAATCAAATGATGTGTTGCACTGGGCCAATCTGCTGCAAAAGAGCTCTTTAAAATGTTAAAAAAGCAAAGGTGTCACTTTAAGGACTAAGCTGTGCCTGACTCAAGGCATGGTGTTTTCAGTTGCCTCATATGCATGGGAAAGCTGGACATTGAATAAAGAAGACCAAAGAAGAATTAACACCTTTGAATTATGGTGTTGGCGAAGAATATTGAACATGCAATGGACTGCCAGAAGAACGAACAAATCTGTCATGGAAGAAATACACCCAGAATGCTCCTTAGAAGCAAGAATGGCAAGACTTTGTCTCAGATACTTTGGACATGTTTTCAGCAGGGACCAGTCCCTGGAGAAGGACATCATGCTTGGTAAACTAGAGGGTCAGTGAAAAAGAGGAAGACCCTCAACGAGATGGATTGACACCGTGGCTGCAACAATGAGCTCAAGGATAACAACAATTGTGAGGATGGTGCAGGACTGCACAGTGTTTCGTTCTGTTGTACATAGGGTCACTACGAGTCGGGACCAACTCAATGGCCCCTAACAACAAGAGCAACAATTTCTGTCTCTAGATGACAGTTTAAAATACTGGGGGGAATTTCAACTAGGATATTCCCTGAGAGATAGCCCTGTGCTCCTTTCTGAATAGGAGAAATAAAACCAAACTGAATACCTTGCAGAGATCTGTGTAGGTCACGTTTTTCTAACAGTCTGCCAAAGGGAGGAGGGAGAGAGCATGACATCGTGGTGTTATAAAGATCCCAAAGGTCTGCAGACTTACCTTAGCTTCCTCAGTTTGTACAACGTGGCACAACAGAGTGTCAAGAGGGTGAGGAAAAGGAAGAGGCTCATCAATGAAATGCCCAGCATTAATTTTAACTTTATATCCTCTAACTCTTCCATTGTTTCTTTGCTCCCAAGGTTCACATCAGAGCCTTAGAGAAAAGAAAGAAAATACATTGAAATGGAGTAATTGTGGTAGGCATGTTTTCCTATAGGTGGAAAGATCGCAAAGCAACTGCAGAGAAACCATCTAGTACCATTCTAAGTATCCCCTGCTCACCCCCACTCCATACAATACAGAGGAGAAAGCTATTCCTTCTGGCCAGTCGCTGTGGCCAAGCACTCAACCTGTCCCTTTTAATCTTCACCAATCCGGGAGGAGCTGCCCTTAGCTCCATTTTACAGGGTCACAGAAGTGTATGAAGTTTTCCATGGTACATAGCCAGTAAGTGGAAAAATCTTGTTTCAAACCCAGGTTACCAGATGTCAAATTATGTATGTAGCACATTGCCTGACTCTACTAAAAAACAGTTCAAGTCTCAATTAACTTTTATACACAAGGGACTAGCCCTTCAGGAGAGAAAGATTTGTGTATTTTAATGTTGGGACATGCACTGATTTTTCTTTTAAGCTAAAAGGATGGCGTACTGGATGCTTTTTCTATGAGGTTTGAAAGCGAGTTTACCGTTTTATTACAGAAAAGATCAAACCTAGTGTGCTTGATGTTAAAAGAAGAAATGGGAACTAAATTTATTTAACTTCGTAAGTTCTATAATAAACATCGTATATGATCCAGAGATGTCCAGAATCTTTTTACTAAATCTATTAATGAAAATATATCTGGGTCTACTGCCAGATTTTACGTTTTCTTGAATTTACGCCTGACTGGAGCCCTGGTGGTGCAGTGGTTAAAGCGCACGGTTACTAACCAAAACAAAAGGTCAGTGGTTCAAACCCACTGGCCACTTCACAGGATAAAGATGTGGCAGTCTGCTTCTGTAAAGATTACAGCCTTGACTTAAAAAAGATGTATTTAATGATGACTCTAGATGATCTTGTTGATATATACCCCCTCTCCCTCAAAAGTCCCTCTGATCAAAAATTCCAAGGATTTTCATTATTTTCTAGGTAATGACATTTAGGTAATAAGCAATGACAAACTCCCGTGTCTTAACCTCTGATTTTTTTTAAACTGTAGTAGTCAAATGTGCAATCTCAGACCAAACAGACTTTGAGATATGGGCAGTTGTCAATGACTGTTTTCTGGATTTGAGACAGATTTTGAAAATAATCAAACAAATTGCATTAAAATGGGCTGTGCTCCTGAATTTCTCTTTTACTTTCTAAAAGGGTTTTAAAAAATTATTGTGATAAATATAACAAAACATTTGCCATTTCTGCATTTTTTGTATGTACAGTATGTACAGTTCCATGACATAAATTGCTGTCTTCTCATGTTGAGCAACCATCACCACTATCTGTTTCCAAATTTTTCCATCAACATTATGATTCCCCTTCCCCCCTCCTTTTCGCCCACCCCTGGTAACCACTAATATACGTTGGTCTCTATACGTTTGTCTAATCTAGGTATTTCATTTAGGTGAGGTCATACAATATTTGTCCCTTCGTGAGATTGACTTCTTTCACTCAGCATGTGTTTCCAAGGTTCATCCATGTTGTGGCATGCATCAGGACTTCATTTCTCTTTATGGCGTACCACACTTTATTTATCCATTCATCTGTTGACGGACATTTAGGTTGTGGCTGTTTATACCTTTTGGCTGTTGTAAACAGTGCTGCAATGAAAATTGGTGTACAAGTATCTGTTTGTGTTCCTGCTTTCAACTCTTTTGGTGTGTACTTAGGAATGGAATTACTGGATCACATGGAAATTCAATTGTTTAATGGTTGTACTATTTTACAATCCCACCAGCAATGGATGAGTGTTCCAATTTCTCCACATCGTTGCCAACACCTGTTGTTTTTCTTTTTTGTTGTATCATAGCCATAGTGGTATCTCATTGTGGTTTTGATTTGCATTTCCCTGGTCCATTGGTTAAGAGCTCAGGTTGCTAACCAAAAGGTTGGCAGTTCGAATCCACTAGATGCTCCTTGGAAACCCTATGGGACAATTCTGCTCTGTCCTGTAGGGTCACTATGAGTCAGAATTGACTCGATGGCAAGAGGTTTGGGTTATTGTTTTTTTTTTAGTTTAATGACTAAAGATGTTTAGCATCTTTTCATGTACTTGTTGCCCATTTGTATTTCTTCTTTGGTAAAATGTCTGTTCAAGTCCTTTGTCCATTTTTTGATTGTGTTGTCTTTTTGTTGTTAAGTTGTAGGAGTTCTTTACATATTCTGGTTATTAAACACTTATCAGATACATGGTTCCCAAAATTTTCTCCCAATCTGTAGGCTGTCTCTTTACTTTGTTGATAAAGTCTTTAATGAATAAAACTTTTTAATTCTGATGAAGTCCAGTTTTTTTATTTTGTCTTTTGCTGCTGGTGATTTTAATGTCATATCAAATAATCTGTTATAAACTAAGTCCTGAAGCATTACTCATGTTTTCTTCTAAGAGGTTTATGGTTTTAGTTCTTATATTTAGGTTATTAATACATTTTGAGTTGATTTTAGTATATGGTGTGAGATATGGTTCCAGCTTCATTTTTTTTTTTTTTTTTGCATGTGAAAATCTGGTTGTTCCAGCACCATTTATTAAAGAGACTATTCTTTCCCGCATTGAATGGAGTTAGCACACTTGCCAAAAATCAATTGACTATAGATGTGCAGGTTTATTTCTGGACTCTCAATTCTATTTCATTGGTCAATATACCTATCATTATACTATTAAATGGTTTTGATTACTGTAAATTTTAGTATGTTTTGAGATCAGAAGTGTGAGTCTTCCTACTTTGCTCTTTTTCAAGATGGTTTGGCTATTTGGGGCCCTTGCAGTTCCATATAAATTTGAGGATTGGCTTTTCCATTTCTGCAAAGAAGGCTGTTCAAATTTTGATGGCAATTGCGTTGAATTTATAGATGGATTTCAGTAGCACTGACATCTAAACAATGTCAAATCTTCCAGTCCATGAACCCGGAATGATTTTTCATTCATTTAGGTGTTCTTTAACTTCTTTTCAGTAATGTTTTATAGTTTTCAGTGTACAAGTCTTTCATGTTCTTAGTTAAATTTATCCGTAGGTATTTTATTCTTTTAGATGCTATTGTAATTGTTTCCTTAATTTCTTTTTCAGAATACTCATTACTGATATATAGAAACTGGACTGATTTTTGTGGTTGATCTTTTATCGTGTCACTTTGCTGAATTCATTTATTAGCTCTAGTAGCTTTCTTGTGGATTCTTTGGGGTTTTCTCTGTATAGGATTACGTCTTAAGTGAAAGGGATCATTTACTTCTTCCTCCATAATTTTGATAATTTTTATTTCTTTTTTTTGCCTAATTTCTCTGGCTAAAACTTCCAGTACAAAATTGAATAGCAATGGTGAGAGTGGACATTCTTGTCTTGTTCCTGATGTTAAGGGGAAAACAGTTTTCCTCCATTGAGTATGAGTTAGCTGTGGGTTTTTCATAAATGTCCTTTATCACATTGAGGAATTTCTCTTCTATTCCTAGCTTATTGAGTGTTTTTATCAGGAAAAGGCATTGGATTTTATCAAATGCCTTCTCTGAGTCAGTTAAGATGATCATGTGGTTGTTTTCCTGTGTTCTATTAATGTAGTGTATTACATTGATTGATTTTTTTAAAACATTGAACCACCCTTGCGTTCCTGGGTTAAATCCTACTTGATCATAGAATATAATCCTGTTACTATGCTATTGGATTTGTATTGCTAGTGTTTTAGGAGATTGTTTGCATTATATTCATAAAGGATATTGGTCTGTTTGTGGTGTCTTTGTCTGTTTTTGTAGCAGGGTAATGCTAGACTCATATGATTAGTTAGGAAGTGTTCCTTCTTACAATTTTTAGAAAAGTTTAAGGATGGGATCATGTCTATAAATGTTTGGTAGAATTCCCTAATGAAGCCATCTTGTCTAGGACTTTTTTGGGGGGGGCGGGGAGCAGCTTTTGATTACTAATTCAATCTCTTGACTCGTTAATGGGTTTACTGAGATTTTTCTATTTTGTCTTGAGCCAGTGTAAGAGGTTTATGTGTTTCTAGGAATTTGTCCATCTCATCTAGGTTACCTAATTTGTTGGTGTACAATTGTTCACAGTATTGAATTAGGTCCTTTTTATTTCTATAGGGTTGATTGTAACATCCCCACTTTCATTTCTGATTTTAGATATTTTCATCTTCTCTTTTATCAGTCTATCTAAAAGTTTGTCTTTTATTGATCTTTAAAAAAAAACAAACTCTGATTTCATTCTCTCCATTGTTTTTCTATTCTCTATTTCATTTATCTCTGCTCTGATCTTTGTTATTTCCTTCCTCCTGGTAGATTTGGGCTTGGTTTGCTCTTCTTTTTTGTGTTCCTCAAGTTGTAGAGTTAGGTTGTTGAGATCTCGCTTTTTTTCATGTAGGTGTTTACCAGTATATATTTCCCTTCAAGCACTGCCTTTGATGCCTACCATAAATTTTGGTATGTTGTGCTTTCATTTTCACTCAACTCTCAGTCTTTTCTGATTTATTTCTTGATCCATTGGTTGTTTAATAGTTTGTTGTTTAATTTCCACATGTTTGTGTATTTTCCAGTTTTCCTTCTAGTACTAATTTCTAATTCACTCTGTTATGGTCAGAGAAGATACTTCGTATGATTCCAATCTTTTTATATTTATTGAGACTTACTTTGTGACCTATCATGTGTCTGTCCTGGAGAATAATCCCTGTGCACTGGAGAAGAATGTATATTGTGCTGTTGTTGGGTGGAGTGTTCTATGTATGTCTGTTAGGTCTAGTTGGTTTATAGTGTTATTCACATTCTCTATTTCCTTATTGATCTTCTTTTTAGATGTTCTGAGCATTATTGAAAGTGGTATATTAAAGACTGACAGTTATAGTAGAACTATCTATTTCTCCTTTTAATTCTGTCAGTGTTTGCTTTATATATTTTGGGGCTCTGATGTTTAATGTTAGGTGTATATATATTTAGGTCCCTAGATGGTTCTTATAGTTGTTATAGCTTCTTGATAAATTGGCCCCTGTATTGTTATATAATGTCCTTCTTTGTGTCTTTTAACAGACTTTGACTTGAAGTCTATTTTGTCTGATATTAAAGTCACCACCTTTTCTCTTTTGGTTATAATTTGCACAGGATATTTTTCCTATCCTTTCACATTCAGTCTGCTGTGTTCGTGGGCCTAAGATGTGTCTCTTCTAGACAGATACCATTGGATCACTTTTTTTTTATCCATTCTGCCACTCTCTGCCTTTTGATTGAAGCATTCAGTCAGTCCATATACATTTATGGTCATTACCCATAAGGAAGAACTTCTGCCATTTTGTTATTTGCTTTTTTGTGTGTCTTATACCTTCTTTAACCCTCGTTTCCTCCAACTTTTGTGTTTTGCTGATGTTGTAGTGAACCATTTTTATTCCCTTCTTTCCTTTTGTGTATATTTTTTAGATAGGTTCTTTGTATTTACCATGAGTATTACGTTTAACATCTTACAATTATAACAACTGGGTTTAAATTAATACCAACTTTAGAAATGTACAAAAACTCTATACCTATACCATTCCTCCTCCCCCCCCATTTATTTTGTTGTTATCACCTACTACTGTATTTTACACAAATAACTCACACCTTCTATGTTTGATTGCCAACCATGCCCTCCCCGTGAGGTATTTTTGTAAATCACCATATGCCTTTTTTTTTTACATATTGCTTTAAAATATTAGCAAAGTACACTTGTGAAAATACCTCACAGGGAGGAGGGCAGGTTTGGCAAACAAACTTAGAAAGCGTGCATTATTTGCATAAAAATATAGTACATCTTTATACATCATGAGCCCCGTAACATATACTTTTTTTAAATGCATTTGTCATTATAAAGCACGAAAGCCATAACAACTAGAATTACCTTAAAACTTGCCCTTATACTTGCCCATGTAATTACCTTTAATGAAGATCTTTCTATGTTCAGTTTCAAGTTACTGCCTTGTGTCCTTACTTTCTCATCAGAAGGACTGCCTTTAGTACTTCTTGTAAGGTAGGTCTAGTGCTTATAAACTCTCTCAGCTTTTGTTTATCTAGGAATGTCTTAATTTTGCCCTCATTCTTGACAGACAGTTTTGCTAGATATAATATTCTTGGTTGACAGTTCTTTTCTTTCAGCACTGTAAATATGCCATTCCATTGCCTCCTGGCCTCCAAGGTTTCTGAGGAGAAACTGGCACATAATCTTACCGGGATCCTTTGTATGTGACTCTTCTCTTCTCTCTTGCTGATTTCAGGTTTCTTTCTTTATAATTAGTTTTTGAAAGGTTGATTGTAATTTGTCTTGCTGTGGATCTCTTTGGATTCATCCCAAAGATGAGCTTCTTGAATATGTAGATTCATGTCCTTTGTCAGATTTGGAAAGTTTTCTGCCATTATTTTTTTCAAACGTTCTGTCCCTTTCTCTCATGTCCTTCTGGGATTCTTATGCTGTGTATATTAGTTCATTTATTGGTATCCCATATTTCCATTAGGCTATGCTCAACAGTCTTGAGCCTTCTCTGTTGTTTCTCCCCAGTCTTCCTAATTTCTGTTACTTTATCCTCTGGTTTGCTGATTCTTTTTCCAGCTCAAATATGTTGTTAAATTCTTTCAGTGAGTTTTTTTTTTTAATTTCAGTTATTGTGTCTTTCAGTCCCAATATTTCTGTTTGTTTTCTTTTCATAGTGTCCATAACTTTATTGATATTCTCATTTTGTTCATGTATCATTCTTCTAATTTTCTTTAATCCTTTGTTTTTCCTTCAATTCTTTGAGTTTGTTTAATATTGTTGTATTATATTCTTCCAATCTGTTCATTATTTGGGTTCCCATAAATATAATTTCTCTCCCCCCATCTTGTTCACTTCAATGGGCCATCATTTCTAGTTTCTTTGTGTGCCTTTTAATTTTTTTGTTGAAGCTGAGGCATTAAATGTTACCAGATGTTAGCTTTCTCAATGATTAGGAATTATAACTCTTCTAAAACAGTAACCCTGTTACATACATTCTTCTTTAATAGGGAAAATATTATCACCATGCAGACACCAAAATGTGTGTGAGTATTTATGTATCCATTAACTGAAGTATTGTGTTCTTACTTGGAATTGGGTTAAATAATTGGTCTTTTTCTTCACTGATCTCGTCCCCTGGTGGTGTTGCATTTAAAGCTGTTAAAACAATAAATTGGTGTTATGGTAAACAAAAGTCATTTAGTAAAATTATTATATGTATATGTATGTGTGCATGTATAATATGTATATATACATATGGGAGAGCCCTGGTGGTGCAGTGATTAAGAGCTAGGCTGCTAACCAAAAGGTCAGCAGTTCAAACCCATCAGCCTCTCCTTGGAAACCCTATGGGGCACTTCTACTCTGTCCTGTAGGGTCACTGTGAGTTGGAATTGGCTCGATAGCACCCAACAACAATATATAGGTATGATATATACATTACATTTATAATATACACATATATATGTGACAAATATATTTGTATATGTGTGCATCTATATCTCATATATACATTTATACATGCATGTATATCTATTTATGAAATTTCCATGACTTTTATATATGTATATTATGGTATGATATGTACATTACGTTTATAAATGTGTACCCATGTGCTTATGTGCATACTGCTTCAAATACAATGAGGGACTATATTGAGCAAGAGCTCTATTTAAAGTTTTTAATTATAAATAAATTTAATTGTAAATAAATTGAATGACTAAATTACAACAATTGTAAAAGAATAAAACTTTTTTGTAGGGAAAATCAGAAAATGTGTTGCACTTTATTAACTCTCTGGGTTTGTTTTGAATTTTTTATTGTATATGAAAATGGCTGCAAAGTGTTGACTTACTGATTTTAGCATTAGAAGTTAAATGATCTTGGCTTTCTTACATAAGATTTTGGAAAATCAAGACATTTCCCCAGCTGCCTAACTGTATCAGTTTACCTTTCGCTAACATTGTCCAAAATTCAGGCTCATTTTGACCCTTGGTTGGTTCTGTTTAAAACAAAATAGAACATGAAAACACAATAAGGTAATTGGCCTTTAGAAAATTTGTGATAGAACATTCATTCATTTCTTTGTTAATTTAGTTATTTAGTAGTCACACCATGAGCTCCTACCGTGTGCTTGACACTAATGTTATAGAAATGAACAAGGCACAGGCCTTATGTGCAAGGAACCCACCCTTAATTTTGGAGACAGACAATAATCGTTGTTTATGTTGCAGGATAATACTGGCTTTAATAGAAATGCACAGGTGGTATGCACAGAGGGGCGTAACTCAACTTGTGAAGGCCAGAAATCCTTCAAGAGAGAGATGAATGTTCACCATAGGCTTAAAGGTCTAGCATTTGTTAACCAGGCAAACAAGGCAAGGAAGAGGTCATTCCAGCTGTGAGCAAACTCAGAGTCATGAGCAGGCTCTGTAAGCTCTTGGAGCTCCAAGTAATCTGGAGTTAAGAATGTTGATAGGGAATGGGACCAGAGATGAGACTGGAAAGTTCTTCAACAGCCAGATCATTTTAAACTTGAGTGCCTGGTTAAGGAGCTTGAACATGCCCTAAATCCTAGTGGTAAGTTACTGAAGATATATAAGTAAGCGCATACCAGAATCAGGTTTCCATTTTTCAAAATATATCAAAAAAGTAGATAAGGTTTTATTTTATTTTATTTTTAGTATGATAAAGATGCAAACTTATTCATATTAATCATATTAGAAACATGCTTTGATTACAAGAATTGGAGAAAATAGGATTTTCTGTAATGCCCTGCCCTTAAGTATCCACTGTCTTTAAGTACACCACTCATTCAAGACCTTAGAGGAGAACTATCCTGGGTTGTTTTGGTTTCACAGATATTTCATAAGGAAAAGCGTTATTGACAGGAATGGTGATTGTGATTTTGCAATCTCCTGCCTTTCAGCCATTCTCCCAAATAATCTTAGGAAACGCTAATAATTGACTCTAAGTGGAGATAAGTTTATTCCTCAAGCAGGTCGAAAATTTTACATTATAATCAAAATAAATTATATATTTATAGCTAACATAAATATATATTTATATATAATTTATTGATATGTGTATATTTGTACAAATATATTTTATATATTTATAAATATATAAAATATAAATATAAATTTAATAAATTTTATTAAAATAAAATTATATTTTAAAAAACTCTCACTTCCTGTCTCTTGTCAGATAAATCTGAAAAGTGACTCAGACATTCACTATTTGAAAGATTTTAAAGTATCTTTAAATTGTAGTAATACAAACTTAAAGCATGCCATTACTTTATGAAATGCTCAGAGTAGCGAAACTTAAATTTTTAAGTTATGTAATGATATGCTCCAGGTATGAATACAGTGTAGTAGTAGTTTTAATACTTTGAAAATGATTGGTGTGGTCTTCAAAGGGTTCTTCAGTGGTGATTTCTTCAGTGCGTTTTTCAGTGAGTCTTTCAGTGAGTTTTGTAGTAGGTGTTTCGGTGCGGGTTTGAGCTAGGAAAGAGATAATAATGGGTTATCAGCATATAAAAAATATTGGCTAAACTTCTGTGACTAGGCATTCTTTTCAGCTAAAAATGGGACAAAGAAAAAGAAAGAGAAGAAATAAAAGGAAAGATTGAAATTTTCCTGAGACGACTTAAAGGAGGAAGAAGAGGAAGACATTTAAAAATAATGCTTTTGTGATAATGTCTTGCCTGAGGTGGGATTACTGTGCCTATAATTTTTGAAAAAAAGGAAAAGCAGGGAGCAGGATGCCACAAGCTTCCTTTAGAAGTTAGGAAGATCTATTGGATGAGATACGTTGTCTTTAGGTGGTTCCCTGCACAGTGATACTATCAGCCCAGGACAGCTTGATTGCTGGTCAGCATAATAATGTGAAAGAGAGAAACGGCATGAGTGTCTGTGTACATAGGAAACATAAGCATGGTAACCACTCAAAACAGAGTTTTATACATAAAGATTTTGGGCTACAAGTCAAGAATTTTCAGGCTTAATTTAGTATATATCTCAGTCTACAATGGGCCCGTCTAAGAGCATGACTGGGAACAGCTGTGACTGAAAACCCATTTTTTTTTTTTTTTTTCCCCATGTAGTTTGCCATTTCAATTAACTTTCCTTAATAGAGAAGTCAGTAAAGTTGCATATGGAGTACAGTCCACGCCACCATAGGAGGAGCTCTACAGAGAGGCAGAATGAATTCAGACTGAGCCTATAGCCAGCACCACTGCAGGTATCTTGTTGACAAGAAAGGATGGAAAAGGCCCTATGTTACTGGAGCTGACACTGATTCAGGCAGGACTCAGACAGTTGGTAGGGAATCCCTAAACTCTGCTATGCCGTCTTGTACTCAATTTTGGAGAAGAGTATATCTCCTCAGCTCACCCTTTGCCCTCAGAGTTTTAGGGACTATACTTACGCGATCGGTAGGCATCATTATTCTAGAGATCTCCATCTCCTCGAGTGACTTGCTCCTCTAGAATGTATCTCATCCCAATCCAACTATCTTTGACAATCCTCTGGGGGCCTGAACTGTGGGGCTAGAAGTCAGGGTTTTGTGGTTCTCAACAACCCATAGCCTAAGTGAACTCATATTACCTGGTCCACTTAAGAGCTGTTTTATCCCAAACAACTAAAGATGTTGATTGTTGTGTACAAGCAAGATTCCCATGGGTGATTAATTAATGTATGCCCTTGCAATATCCTCATTTAAATCCCAAGATTTGAAATTGCTCAAAATGCTGCATTGTTTGTCAAATAACTTTATGAATCATCAGGCATCACTAACTCTGGCTTTTTCCCAATACTGAAATTGCCATAGCCAGAAACATTCTCTCCTTCTTGTTTACTTACCCTCATTCTCTTTCTGTTCCTTGTCTTCTGTTTTATCTTTGGGTGTTTCATAGGTTATGAGTTGTTGCCACTACAAGGTGAAAGTTGTGTTCATGAACATGTACTCTGGGGAATTTTAATGGCCTCAAGAGTTGCATGCTGACAAAGCTTTATCTGTCAAATAGTTATGGTTGGGTAAAGGATGTGAAAAGGAAATCAGAACATTTGAAGCTGAAAGTAAAAAGCAGAAAGGAGTAAAGAAGTGGGTCTAGGAAAGATGAAAAATTATCTAGAGTCCTAAATTTAGTTACTAATTTTTCTTCCTGCACAAACCAAAACTATGAGGTTAGGAATGTAAGAACCTCCCTGCCAGTGCAATGGACGTGGAGACTGAAGAGTGTTGGTGTCAGAGGAAGGGTGCAAAAGGAAAAACCTAGGGGAAGACCAGAAGTTCAGTCAGATCCCAGAGTCATAGAATCTACCTCACAAGGGAAATTTTAGTCTCGTTTAGGAATGAAGATTCCCTGATTTTAGCTCCACTAAGACCACTTTCCTACCCAACACTCTCTAGTGCTATTTAGAAATCCTGCTTTAAGGCCTTTTCACACATGAAGCAGTACGTTTCAATACTTACAGTTTCTTAGAATGAAATTCACATCAGTTGTTGCTCTCAACGATATTTCAGGCCCAGTGCCGTTTGAACCTGGTGTCACGAATGTATCTATAAACATAAAATCAAAAGTCTTCAGCAGCTAGCTAAGTCACTTCTTGTTCATTTACATTTTTCTTTGTTGATTTTTTTTTTTCTTAAAACATATGCACTGGCTACTTCCAAGGAAAAAGAAAGTTATCTGAGGCATTCTTCACCTACAAAATATGAAGTCAACTCTAAAATTAACGAGGAGAAAAGCCAAACTACTATCCTTGTGCTAAATGACTCTGAGAAGGCAATTATTGAGGAGATTTGTGGAAAAACTTATATAAGTGCATAACAGGTGCCTACATAGATTTGTATATGTGAATTTATTACCATTTGTATTGACATTATCAAAAATCACATAAGAAGCATTCATTTCTCCTTAGATGTTTTGTTAGACTAAGGAAATTTTTCAGCTTCAAAAGCATACAATTCAATAAAAATCAAGGTCTTCCACATACACTCACATTTACATAAACAAATAAATAATTCTGCTCTTAAGAGGTGCCAGTGGGATTGGTTATAATTCAAAACTAATGGACTCATCCATCCTACCAAAGGGCCAGAGTTAATTGGAGGAAGATGCCAGACTGAACATACATGCATACATACATACATACATACACATACACACTTCCTTTATCTAAAATCTCATGAACTAACAATTTATATAAACAAGTATGAATGTATATATGTGTATAGTATGTACATATATACTAATTTCCCCAGCATACAAAAAGAAACAAAACAATGATATCAATGTATCATAATTTTTGAGAAATACCTAAAAACAAGTTAAAAAAAAATCATTGAGAAATAAAAGGAAATCACAATCCCAAGCCCATGCAGTAAGTTATGAAACTATAATATTAAAATACTGTGGTATTTTTACAGGAACAGACAAACTGCAGAAACAAAAAGTGTAGCAATTGACCCAATTATGTATGGGAATTTAGATTACAATAAAAGCTCATTTCACATCAGTAGGAAATTGATGTTAGACAGTTGGCTATCCTCCTCAAAAAGACAGTTTTATCCCTACTTTATGCCATATCTGTTACATCAATTCTGACTCATAAAAATAATTCCCAATTGGATTTAAGGGCTAAGAGTTAAAAACAAAATTAGGAAAATAATTTAATATCTTGGGTTGGATAAGTCCTGTTTAAGCGAGGCACAAAATGCAGAAATTATAAAGGAATTAATCAACAAAATTGATTTTATATAAAACTTAAAATTTTCTCTATGATTAAAGATACCTAAACAGGATAAAGATAAGCAAAAGCCTTGGAGATATACTACTTTTACCACAGATTAAAATACTGAATATAAGAAGAGCCCATACAAATAAATAAAAAAGACAACGCTAATTTAAAAAATAGATCAAGGATATGAATAGGAAAGTCACAGAAGTAGAAATGAAAATGGCCAATAAATACAGAGAAAGATACTCAACTTCACAAGTAAGTAGGGTGCAAATTAAAAGTCACTGAAAAATTAATTCTCACTTATCACACTGACAAAATATTATGATTACAATATTCATTGTGGGTAAGGTTATAGAGCATTCTTGGGGATGTAAATTGGTAGATACCTTTTTATAGGGTAATTTGCTCCTTTCTATCAATATTTTAAGAGATTTGCCCTTTATTCAGCAATTCCAATACTTGGCATCTATTCAAAGAGAGATATATTGGACTGTAGATAAGAAGAATCTACAAGAGAAAAACTGCACATAATCTAAATAGCCTTTGATAAGATAGTGGATAAATAAATTTTGAAGCATCGTTTTATGGAATGCTATGTATCCATCAACAATAATGAGGTAGACGTGAAAAGAGCTCCAGAGTTGTTAAATGGGAAAAGCAAGTCTCCACAATTATTTAGTATGATCCCATTGATGATACATACATATATATGTATACATATATACATATACATATGTATGTGTGTGTGTGTGTAATATAATTCATATATTAAAGACTAAAAGTATATTTCAAAATAATATTTGATAGTGATTATCACTGGGGAGGGAAAAAGGAACTGCGGGAAAGGTAAAGAAGGACTTTCACATTGTCCTATGTTTATGGTTTGCCTGAACCCTTTAACATGAGAATGCATCCATGCATTACTCATATATAAGACAAGAAAGCAAATGGACAGTATCACCAATATTGTTCTTCATAATATTAAATTTAATTAAACTTCTCAACCAGATGAGATTATTCTGCTGCAAGTAATGCTAGCACAGAAGAAAAAAAAACAATAAAGAGGAGGCTATGACAGCAAGCCGACAAGCTCAGGGAAGGACACATTTGTCTTGACTATAGCACGATGTCTAATTAAGATTTTCTTTGTAATCACAGTAATTAACAGGTTCTCTATTTATGCTCTGTTTAGTTCAAAATGGAGCTACATCCTGAAAAAGACATAATTTTTATTGTGCCATTTTTCACACGAGAGGCAGCCTGGAATGGATTGATTAGACACCACTCATGACTCTGCTTCTTGGTGTCTGAAATCTGGCAATTTACCTTTCTGACAAAAAGTTTTGTTTTTTTCATCTAAAAAAGAGGGATATTGATTCTAATTTCATAGGGTAGTTGAAAGAATCAAATAAAGATATATACACTCAAGTGGTTTGAAAACTATAATGCATAAATTATATTTCTATTTTTTCTTTAATTAATATTAAGAAGGGGGCAATGGTGGTTCAGTGGTAGAATCCTTGCCTTCCATGTGGGAGATTCAGGTTGGTTTCCCAGCCAGCGCACCTCATGTGAAGCCACCACCCATTCCTCAGTAGAGGTTTGTATGTTGCTATGATGCTGATCAGGTTTTAGCAGAGCCTCCAAGCTAAGGCAGACTAGGAAGAAAGGCCTGGCAGTCTACTTCTGAAATAATTCAGTACATGAAAACCCTGTGGGTCACAATGGTCTAATTCTGTTGTGCGTGGAGTTTCCATGAGTTGATGGCCAAATCCGTGGTAGCTAACAACAACAACAAGGTTAAGAAGATCCCAAGATAATTACATTTAGTCTTAATTTTTTTCCAATAAATTGTGTTATGAACTTTTCATTTCTTTTAAGAATTACGTACCTTATAGGAACACAGAAATGAAGCTCATATGAGAATGGTGAGTTATAAACTAAATTTTGATGGACACTCTATCTGGATGTCACATCTAAATAAATATTGATTAACTCACCAGAGAATTAGGTCAAATATTACTAGTGTGAATAGAATAACCAAAATGCATCTGATAAATTTTATTTTCATTACGATTACCAAGAGAACCTTGTGAGACTTCATGAAAAAAATAGTAGGAAATAAGGGTTTAATTTTATGCACCAAAAAGTCTATAAAATAGATTAGAATTTAAGAGGTAGGAAATAAAGTGATTACGCAAATTTAAAAAAGAAAAAATAAACTGGTACAATCAATTTTTGTATATGTATTGCTATTAACTTAAAGACTCACATTGTTTTACGTCTTTATAATGATTGCCACTTTTCTCATTAGAAGACATTTTATCCTTGTTTTTTTCTTGCTCTTGATTTTCTTGTTTAAATACAGGCATCGTATCAGGAAACTCTGAAAAAAAAATGACACACCGTGTTTCAGAAATGTAATGTTGATTTCTTTTAATTTCTTTTTCTACTCTGTATTTTTTTTCACAAAGATTTATGAAACAGATTTAAAATCTAAATTATTCCACAATCTCCAACAATAAAGCTCTAATCATCCTGTAGAAAATTGCCACATACCAATTTTTCATGATTATGAGTCTTCCTTCCTAGGTACTTACTCTTTCTGTGAAAGTTTTAAATGCTTACTCACCTTCAAAATTGGGCTTGATATCACTAACATCTGAGGAAAAAACCCCAGATAAAAAAATAAACAATATGAAATTCATTGGAAAAAGTTTGTGATTTATCCAGTCATCTACTGTGTCTGCTCCGTGTTTCCTTTCTGTTACCCAGCAGGGCCTATGACTGACTAGAACATTATGACATCATGGCCAAACGGAGGTCAGAATGCTAGGTAGGAATTCCCAAAGGCTTGTGGTAATTTGTAATGCAGCAAATAAATGAATAATACAATGCACTCAGAAGTGGGTGTAAATAAGTCCTAAAGTAGTGGTACTCAAAATAAAGGGTACATAGGAACCACTTTAGGGGTTTGATTAAGTGCAAGTGTGAAAATGGCATGGTGAGGCATCTGACCTCCTCTAACTTCACAAGGCGGAAGGAAAATCAAGATTAACAGCCCCAAACTGATTCTTATGAGGCAGAGATCAAACATACCTCCACCCTCCAACCTTTTTACCAGTTCTGACACCAGCTTCTGCTTCTCTGCTGGGTTCGATAATTTGTTGCAGTAGCAACACAGAA